CATAAAACTTTAGAACTTGATGAAAGATTTTTCTTCTCTTGAACAAGTCTTTTCCATAACGGCCCATCAAAATGTCTTGAGAGTCATAAAAGAAAACTCTTCCCATGAACGTGGGCGGTCTGTCGTTGGAGACTTCTCTTGTGCTTGGATCACACACAAGTTTACGAGCGAGCCTCGAACTATTGACGAAAACTACTTGACGTAACAGCGTGTTCACCGACACGATATCGCCGTACTGGTCAGCCCACTTTGCTGCCGTCAGATGGAGAGAATCATGACGCATACTTTGCAGAAAGTCCCACAGACCTTGCAGCAAGGACGGGCCTGGAACGGTGGTAGGTTTTCGATTTTTGAATTTTGACCCAATCAGGAATATCGCAGCTAGGACCACGAGAGCTATCAGGTATTCGGAGATCATCGTGACAGTGAGGGACCTGAGAAAAAAAGGGAAAATATCATGACAATGAGAATTCCTAGACTTTTTCTCTTGCTACTGTAGATGTAAAATGGACAAAGGAAAGAATGGAATGTCCCAATTATTTAAAAATTTCTCATTCTTTCCATTAGTTCTGATAGCCAAATTTGTATAAAATGACTTTTAAGGCTTATTGTTCGATACAACGTACCCTCTGTGGCACCTGGTGTTTTAAGTAAGGCATTATACAACTGAATTAATCTTATTTCCTAATAATCGTAGAGCTGTCATAAACACAATCTAAGATCGTTGTTGCTAATTCAGGACCCATCTGTGACAATAACATCAACTGGAATATATTCAGGCCCTGGAGATTTACTCTGTTACAGTGTCTTAGTGGCAGGTTATGTTTTTTCTTAAAGTAATGGTGGTCCATTTACTGAGAAGCTATTCTGTCTCTTCTGACTATGTTTAAAACATCCCTTTTGTCCACAAAAATATCTTCTTCTTTCCCATTTCTTAACACTGATCAACATGTTGATAATACAAACCGTTCAATCCAAGGGAAGTAAGCAAAGAAACGAACACACAAAAAGTAATAACGACAAAAATCAACTTCAGGTCACAATGTTTGGTTGACCTAGTTTACCTTACTTGAATGCAAAGAAAATCGTTCCTAGAGGTCAGCGTGAAAGCAGTACGAGTGCAAACTGGTCTATATTTTGTCGTTCATAATATGAGTGCTTTTTGCTGGACATGATAGGCGAAATGCCTCGGTATGTTGCAAAAGTGTCCTACGTGCAAATGTATTTTTGAGGCAGCGTGGTGGAATCAGGCTCTCGTCAATTTTTGGGCATGTAGAGTTATTGGTATCATCTTAAAGCTTGTTCATTTGTCTTTATTTGGGTGGAAAAAATATCCATTTATCTTGAATACAAGTCGAGACATTTGCGAATGAAGGGGATGGGGGTCACCTTTTTTCAGAGGTAAGATTAGTGAGAAAATGGCCGCCAAAGATTAGTTATTTCCTCAGCTTAAGAGTCCGTGGTAACTGAAATTTACATTTTTTGTGCCTTTAATCAACGTTTTTCAGAAAAATCCATATAGAAATGAGCTCTTTAATGGGCATGAAAGCTTTTGAGCAAACAAACAAAAATTTGAAAAAAATTCACAAACCTGTGGAAAAATGCTAGTTTCTTCACTTTGATTATTTTGACGAGAGCCTGATTTCACCACGCTGCCTCACATTTTTAAAAAAAGAAAAGCTCTTTTGAAATTGTGGTAGGAGCTGAAGGGAGGTGGTGGAAAAAAATTCACAATTTGTGGTAAAAGCTTTCCTGTCCATTTTAGGAGATTTGACGAACTCGAAAAAAAGAAGAGGCGCCATTTTCCAGCTTTAAGTCTCATGATTGCAGGGAGAACATAGTTGTTCTTTACTGGCGATGGTGTTGTGGCGACAGCATATTATTTGAAACAGGTGTCAATGAAATAGGCAAGTGATCATACAGGGGAAGGGTTTTTCATCTGCCTCCACGGTGCACGTAATAAACTAAAGACACAGATACATGTGCAGTAACAGCAGGGAACAAATGTATTTGTGAGGCAGAGTGGTAGAATCCGGCTCTCGTCAATTTTTGAGCATATTCAGTTATTGATATCATCTTAAAGCTTGTTCATTTGTCTTTGTTCGGATGAAAAATTTATCCATCTATCTTCAATTGACGTGGAGATATTTTGGACTGAAGGAGGTGGGGGTCACCTGGCTTAAGAGGTAAAATTAGCGAGAAAATGGCCGCCAAAGCTTGATAAATTCCAAAGCTGGAGAGTCCATGGAAACTGTAAATTTATATTTTTGTGCCTTTAATCTACGTTTTTCGGTGAAATCCTCAAAGGAATGTGTTTGTAAAGGGACATAACCGTTGTTGAGCCAAAAAAAAATTTTTTAAATAAAAATTGCTAAGCAGGGAGAAAACTGCTGTTTTCTTCGATTTCATTATTTTGATGAGAGCCTGATTCCACCACGCTGCCTCACAAATCATATAGAACGTCAACAGTTAAAAGCGCTGAAGGCAAGGAAGACGACTGCAACCCGCGTATATCCACAGGTGGAAAGGAAGGTTTTAAATATGCTCAAATTGTGGCAAATATTTCTCTGCTAGGATTGGTCTCATTGGCCATAGCAGACGTCACTGGGTCAGAGCTTAGCAGAGATGTACACTATAAGTTTTAAAAGGAGATAACTCTATGGAGCTTAATTTTTATTTCTTCTGTTTTGCTAATGAAATATTCTCCTCTGTGGATGTATTGCTTGTCGTCAGATACTGACGGACGGAATATCTTCATCATCATCATTATTATTATTATTGTTATTATTATTATTATTATTATTAGT